AAACAAACAAGCATGTAAATGGAAATTATTGGGCCGGAAAAATTATCGAGCTCATTTTATTTATCGTGCGATTAATTGATTTATCGCTTATCGCGACAGGCCTAAGTGCAGCAGTTAAAGGACCAGTGGTGGTAGGAATTTAGCTGCATCAGTGGGAAGTTGCAGATCGCAATCAACTGCATGCCGCTCACTGTACAAGCATGTAGGAGAAGCAAAACCTGACTAAGCCATCATTGATGGATGAGGTGATTGGATGAACCATCTGGTTATCATTGTCTATCAGAGGCAAACTTCAACCAATCAGATCAACGTACCACATATAGTCATAGTCAAACTCTTACTGAAGTCAGTCGGGAGAAGAGAGAAAACATCTCTTCTACTGTAGAAAGCCTTCAGTGCCGTTCTTTGCCCTTCTTTCAAAGAACAAACACTCACCAGTTCTGATAGAACTGATGCTAGCAGCATCTATGCTAACCTTTTTAGCAGCTGCCATTGTTGCTTTCAAACAAACAGTCACTTTTCCCAGCATTAAACCATGCCTGTAGCTCATGTTGTAGCTCCCAATTGTTTCTCAAAGGATGCTGATTGGTCCGAACCACATAGATTGAAACCTGTCAAGATGGATTTTAGCTGCCTCGCAACATTACGAGAAGATACGGTGGTTACAAAACTCATGGGCCAGTGTTTGGTTCTGGGCTACTGTGGAAAATAATGATACACTTGAGTATCGCGATATTTTGTTTTGTGATATTGTATCGTATCTCAAAAACACTGTAGTGTTTTTTGTGTTTATCCACCAACTGCCAGATAGCAGTGTTGTAAACATAAACTGAGGGCTATGGATCTTACAGTATTGCAATGTAGCACAGTAAATTGAATCAGAACCACTGTATCGTGATATTTATCGTATCGCCATATTTTTACCAATACACAGCTCTGGCAGAAACATGGCGGTTCAACATGGTGGAATCTGCTTCCTCTGTAGATAAAAACGTCTCATTTTAAGGTAACAAAACACAACGGTTCTTATTTTCAAGTAATTATACACTAATGAAAACATACCTATGGATATTATATTCCATTTCTGACAATCGATCCTGGATCTTTATAGTACAGGGGTCTGTATCACATGTATATGGGGAGGAGGGGGAACCACTGCCAGAAAACATCATACACCTTCCTTGTGTATCCTATTGGAACAGTTAATTCCACACATACACACACACTCAATGCAATTATGACAGCTTTTGAAAACCTCCCTTTTATCAAACTGCTCACTGCTTGTTCAAAAGCAACAAAACCACTGCTGCTTTTATGAGACATGCTGTGTCACTTGTGCTCGGCAGCCCCTCACATTTTGAGACATTTTACAGCTGTCTCAAACCCAAACCTCGGGTTAGTGCGTGTTAACGTCCGGACATGCAAACCCACTTTGTAAAAGTTTACGAGCCTCTCACACCGCATGACAACAAGGTTTTATCCAGATGGAATGCTGGGAAAAGTGCAAAGGTGACGTCACTCGCCCCCACTCATGGTAAGACTCGGTTACACTTTTGTTCCACTTCCCGGCCAGAGGGTCAATGTGTGTGCGTGTGTGTGTGTGTGTGTGTCTGCATGTACTGTATACAAACAACAGGTTCTTTCAGTGTTGCCCTTCCCTCCGTTTAGGGTGACCTCATAGTGTTTTAAGCTGCATGTGTTGTACATAGAAGATATTTCTGTGTTGTATATTTCTGTGTACAGTCTCCAGAATGTGCTGGGGTTTTCCTCATTTGATTGCTCATACACATTACACAGCACAGAGTGGGCGAACCAACCACCAAAAAACACTGTTCTGTGGTCTGTGTGTGTGTTGTGGCACATATGCATGGAGGGAGTGGTGATTAAAGGCTTCTGCTTTCACCAGCTACAGTACATTTCTGATCTCAGTGAATAAAAGCTGCTCTTTGTCAACTTTGTCCCTGATTCACTCTGCCTGTTTCCATTCTCACTGCAGAGTCTGCCTCGCTGTCATGTCAGACACACTTTTCAAAGGAACATTGTTTTGAGCTTAGCAATGGAAGCACATCTGGAAGACGCAGTGTGAGCCGAGCACTCCCATTGTGTTATTATGGTTTATTCAATGGGAAATCATCACAATTGTGCTTTTTCACAGTTCAGTCAGGACCATTTATTCCAAAAGCAGAATGTTACATTTGGCGGTATGGCTCTGTTCTGGGACCTCCTTGCCCTTCCACGTGCCTACATGGAAAAGTTTAAGACAAGGAGAGCGGCAGCAGAGACCCC